ACAAGGAAACTATTTTTAGAGAAAAGAAAATAAAATACAAAAAAGTAAAATTTAGAAAAAAATGATAAAAATATCCAAAAGTCTCTTAAATGGCTGGCCAACCCTCCTATTTATAGTACAAAGGTGACGTGGTTTAACCAATCAAAATGCAAAGAAAATCTAGCTAAGCTACCATATCTTTTAGATCCTTCCAACTCATCTAACTTGGTTCATTGGCTTCCTTATTTGCTTCTCTTTGCTTCACTTCACTTCAAACCTTTTTTTTTTAACTTGTGGGCTTCAAAAAATTATATTTATAACCAATTAGAACCCTCCAAAATGCCACCTAAGCAATTATCCATTGGCCTTCCCTTTGAATCCAAGAAATGGTGCCATCTCCATATAATCATCACACTTGCATCCAACAATTATGCTTGAATCCTTGTCTTCACTTTAGGCACCAATTGTAGTAGTTTCCTTTTTCAAAATTCAGCCAATAAACAGCCACCTAAATGCTAAATAAACCATGGAATTCCAAAAAAATTTAGCTCCTAAAATTAGCCATAAATCCATTGCAAGCACTAATAACCTTTTATGCTCTTTTAGCTTATGTAAGCTTATTATAAATGTGACCATTACTTTCATAAATTAAAAGAGATTAAAAATCATGAAAAACATAAGAAGTTAAGCTTGAAATAAAGTTTCATAAGCTTAATCATGCATAAGGAAGTAATGAAGAAAAGTTGGGAAATTTCTCCCAAAAATGGCAATTGACCAAGTTCGACACTAGTTCGACCAAATATAGCTTTTTGCATCAAAATTCCTCTAAAATGAGTCCAAAAGTTTCAAATTTTCTCATTTTTCATATTTTTACCTACATAATGAATATTTATGTAATTATGAATATTTTTGCCAATTTCTCAAGAAATAAGCAAATATTTAAAAGAAATTCATTAAAAAGATATAAGAAAATGCTAAAATTTTAGTGCAATTATAAAGAGAATAAGAAAATGGCTAATGATGTGTAGCATTGTAGTATTGGAAGAAAAAGATGAAAAAGAATGGAGTGAATGAAGATATGGTTTTTACTTTAGGCTTATATAGCAATTTGTTAAAACTACATAACTTTAGTCGAGTTCTAAATAAAAATATATAATATATAAATAAATTAGACTTATTTTTATATTATATAAATATAAGATATCCCAACTTAAAATTTTAAATATTATTTTAATATATAATATAATATTAATATTATTTTGAATAAAATTTTAATATGTTAAATGTTAAATAAAAGTAAAAATATATATAAGAATAACTTATTAATTGCATTTAAAATTAATGTCTTTAATGATCATTTGTTCTTTTCATATAATTATTTAATAAATAAATAACTAAAATAATAAATAAAAAAATAAATAATCGATTTTATGATCAAATAAATTATTAGTGAATAAAATAGATAACTATTTAAATAATAAAGTAAAAATAATTATTTATTTTATTTTAAAATGTATAAATATATTAATATTTTTAAGAAAATAATTACTATTTTGAAAAAATAATAATATAAAGAAAAATATAAACAAATTTATTAAATAAAAGAATTACATAAATAAAAAATAAATATATAATCAATTATATATAAAACAAAAAAGTGAGTCCCTAAATAATCAAATAAAAAATATTATTTTGTTAAATTTAATTTATATAAATATATTATTATTAATTTTTAACAAAATTAATTTTTTGATACCAGACAAATTACTTTTTATATAAATATAATTTTATTAATTTTATATTATTTATTAAATTTATAAAATATTATATACAATCTTTTATCAAAAGTTGTTAATTTTCGTTTTTCTTCTTACTGTAATTCACATTGTTGTCATCATTGTTTTTATATTTAAATATATATCTCATCATTATTTTTTATCACATTATTATGTTAATCAATCTCATAATTATAATAATTAATTTCATCTCTATAATTATTTCTAGTATAATGGGAAGCAATCTCATCCTAAATTAAAATAAACATTTAGTGCTAATTTGGATCATCAATTGGTGACGTTGAGGTGAAATTTGCACCATTTTTTTATCCAAAAAAAACGCTTTCGTGGTGTTTGGATAACACAAGTGACTTTCAGTAGCGTCCAGTTCTCCACCGAAGTTAAGAGTTTTAGTGACAATTCTCACCTTCATTGCGCCCTCCTTCCAATTTTGCCATTGTTCCTTTTTTTTTTTTTTTTTTCTTAAACTTATCGTGACTTGACAAAAGATCCGTGCCATTTTAATCTTTCATTTTTCATTTTTATTTAAATATTAAAAATAATTAATTTTATTGATTTAATATACTAAATAAAATTTGTTATTATATAATAAATTTAAAAACAAATAATACATATTAATATTTTGATTGAATATAAAATTTTATGATTTTAAATGTAATAAATAATATTAAAATATACATAAAAATAATTTATTAATACAGTTTTAGAGTAAAATCCTTACAAGTGTCTTTGGATGAAACTTTGTGAAATTTTGAAGAAATTCGAAATGAAGATATTTTAAAATGCAAGCATTTGTGATTATTTTGTTTGGATAAATATTTTTTTAAAAAAATTTAGTCTATTGAAATTTGATAAGATAAAAATAATTATGAAAGAACAATGATGATATAAAAGATAAAAAATATATATGTAATATAAAATATGTACTATGAGTATTATTAGATTTGTAAAAATATATAGATATTATTAATAATATAAAAATAAAATATATATTAAATTTAAATAAAATTAGATTTTTTTTTATTTTTGTATTTTATAACTAGCAAAGAGAGAGGACTTGGACAAATTTTGAAAAACTACCTATTTAGATGGAATCAAATTCACTCTTGAAATTCTACTTAAATTTTAAAATTCTCTTTTATTTTTATTCAAATAAGTAAATCACTTTTAAAATTTTAAAATAAAATTATCTTGTTTAGCAAAAATAAAAGATATAATGGTCAAAATTCTTGGAATTTGAATGAAAAATTTTAGAGGGCTCAAATTCTCTTTTTAAATTTCGCCTAAATAGATGGAACTTGCGAAAATTCTTAGTTTTATGGTAAGAACTCAATATTTACCATTTTTTTTTTTTGACGATTATTTACTATGTTTTCTTTTTTATACAGCTCTTGTTTTCTTCAATTTTAAATATAAAAACTCATTATAAAATTATTTTTATATTGTTATTAATATCTACATATTTTTACAAATATAATGACACTCATATAACATATTTTTTTAATATTTTGCTTTTTCTTATTTCTCATATCGTTATTTATTATAATTATTTTTTATTTTATCAAATTTCAATATCTAAAATTTATTTCTAAAATGTAATTATCCAAAAAATGTAATTGCAAATTCTGTTATTTTAAATTTACACATTTTAAAATGCTAGCATTCCCAAATTCTTCAAAATTTTAAAATTCCCCATCCAAACGCATGGAGAATTTTAAAATTTTGAAGAATATTGAAATGCTAGTATATGCATCAATTCAAAATAACAAATTTGTAATTGCATTGTTTGAATAATTATTTTTTAAAAAAAAATTAAAAATTAAAATTTCATAAGACAAAAAATAGTTATAATTGAAATATAAATATCATTAAATTTGTAAAAATGTATAGATATAACTAATAATATGAAAAATTAAAAAAAATTATTTAGTGAGTTTTTGTATTTAAAATTGAAAAAACAAAGTTGGGTATAAAATGTTGAGTTCTTACTATAAAATCAAATAATTTCATAAATAATTTGAAAAGAAATTTGAGCTTTCCAAAATTTCTTATTTAAATTCCTAGAATTTAAATAATTTAAATTTTACCAAAAAAAAAAGTTTATTTTAGAATTTTAAAAGTCTCTTTATAAATAAAATCCCTCTTTTAAGTTCCTCATGCAAATAAAATCATTTTACATTCTCACTTCACCACTATTATTGTTTTATTATTCAAATTCTCGTATTATTATTAATTTTACACTATGTTTGGATTGTGAGAAAAAGAAAAAAATAAAAGAAAAATTAAAAAAAAGTAATAAAAACTGAAAAATCATTCATTTGTTTGGATAAACTTTTAATTTAAAAAAAATAAAGAAATAAAAAAGATTTCCTTTGTAATTTTTACTTTTTTAATACCTCAAATTGAGAAAAAAGTTATGAAAAAAAAGTTAAAAAAATTTTATTTTTATGAAAGGATTATTATATCTATTTTTTTATTAACACTACTTAAATCTAATCGCATCATGATCATCTTACAATTTTTTTTCTATCAACTCTTTTTTCTTCAAATAAGTTTCAAGTATTTTTCAATGTAAAGATTGTTGATAAATAATTGCTTTGATGATTTAATTTTTTATGAATGATTGAACATGATTAGTCATGTATATATGATAACTTTTTTATAGATGCATGTATTATTTTTTTTATATCACAACTTCACAATCTTTTATCTTTTGGATATTTATTTCTTATCTTTATTTATGTTGAACCGAATAATGTATCGTTATTCATTATGTAAATCAATAAAATATTTAAAGGTTTGTGGTTTTTTGTTTTCATGTTGACAAGCTATAATTTTATATTTGAGATTTAGTTAACATTTTTATAAGATGTCAGATAATTTTAAATTTGATGATCAAATCGTAAATATTATAAACAAGTGGTCACTACAAAGATCATTTATTTATATATGTTAGGTAGTATAAAAATATATTTATATATTATATGTTATTTCATAAAAAAAAAGTTATAATTTTAAAAAAATAATAATAAATTATTTTTTTTTACTATTTATCTAAATAATGATTATTAATTTTTTTTTGATTAATTTTAACTATTCAAATAAAAAATACATATTTTTTCTATACAAAAACTTTTATTTATTTTTATTAATATTTATCTAAATATAAAATTAACCTCATTATTATAATAATCAATTTCATCATTGCAATATTAATCACTGCTGTTTTCAATATGCACAAAAACGATGTCACCCGCCCGTAAAATGTACCAAAGGGCTAAAGAGGTTCGCTTTTGGCTGGACCTCTTGGGGCTTCCTTTTTCTATTGCTTTTGACGTAGGTAGGAGTTTGAAACTTTGGACAACCATTAAGACCAACTGAACGGATACACAAACATAATTGAAGGCTCACTGCGCTCTTTCACTCTCTTCAATCTAGCCTAATTTCAATTTAAAAGACGCCCAAATGAGTGATGCAGTCTGGGCAGAAATTGAGCGCTCCGAGAGGTAATTTCAATGATTAATTCTTCTTTTTAATTGTAATTGAAGTTTTTGTGTGATTTTATTGATAATATTGGTTTAATTGTTGTAATAGCTTCTTGGTTTGCTCCATGTATGAGGAGGCTGCAGCATTAGCTTCCTCCATAGTACAGCAAAGAGGGCACCCCAATCTATCCATTGATGATGATTTTAAGTTTGAGTTGTATGATGCGATGGTTGCCGCTGGTATGGTCTTGGTTCAGTCCTTGAAACAACTCTCAAGGTAAACCTACCTTCCCTTTTCTTTGTTTGATCTGGTTTGGTGCGAAAAAAAAAATGAAGGGAACGGTGTCTCAGTTTTGCTTTTTTTTTTTTTTGTTATTAGAGCTGATTATGATGCCATCATATGCAGGACATCTATGATTCTGAAGGAGCTCAAAACATTATTTGTTTCTGTTGAAGCAATCCCTGTTCAAGTTCTTCTTACTGGGTACTCTTTTCTTTCTTCTATTAATTCATAATGCTTCTGATTTTTGTGTTATAAGTGCTTCTCTGATTTTATAAATTATGCTATAATTTCAAATGGTTACCCCGAGCTGAATCCGGCTTCTTAGGTGGTCAAGTTGCATAATTTTACCACTTTTCTTCTCATCAGCCAACTACAAACTAATCCTCATCCCTAAACAATTTGATTTACTAACCATTACTCCCTGATGAGTCTATAACTTTGCTCCCCTCATTCTTATTTTCTGAGTCTAGAGATGTAATCATGTTTCAGTGTAACATTGCCATTTTTTTGAGGTCTCACTTGTGAATGAAAGTTGTGCATTTGGCCCTTACCTGTATTATATAAAGTCTTGTTTTGGTGCTCCAGTCATCTTAATTTCTTGGTGTAACATAAACACAAGAAAATTTAGCCTTGAGATACGAATCTGATCCTCTCAGACACTGGTGCTAAATTTACTTCCTTTTTGAATATTCAGGGTATGTTTCCAAATATCAGAAGCTTCAACTTTAGGAGCCAGAGAATTTCTTGAGGATTTTCTTAGCAAGTGGAGATACGTGGATGAACAATGCTATGTCCTTGCTAGTGCAGAAATAAATTTGAATTTCATGGAAGGAAGTGATAGCTATTTTGTCTTGGGAATTGATAAGTATGTTGAAGTTGTTGAGCTGTATGCTGTCATGCTTCTTGGAACAGTTTCCAATGATGTAGACCTTGCGATCTCTTGGGTTGAGCAGGCTGCATTGCCAGAGAAAAAGCGACAGGTAATATATGCCAAGTAGAATTTTCTTTATATTTTTCCACTATTTGATTGTGCATTCACCTGTGTTGTGCATGAATATAGTCATCTTTGTCAAGCTGTTTATGAATTAATTGGAACTTGAAGGCATGATTCATGTTGATGGTGACTAGAGACTTTACAAAGTCTTGAGTAAAATAGTGTCACTCCACATCTGTTAAATTTAGAGTTACCTAATGGCCTTGTATGCTTAACATGGTATTAGAGCCAAAGTTGTTTGTTGCCTTATTTGTTACCCATTATTTATTGGCCAAGTCTTAGCCTGTTTGTTTAGTTGTTAGTGTTGGGCCTAAAAGAAACAGGGAGGAGTGTTAAGTGGTGTTCTACCACATTGGCTAAGTTTTGGGTTTGCTATGGCATTATATTCAAGTTCAGTCTTTTGATGTAACTTGGTGCATGTCCACTGCTAAGATCTTAGTTGGGAGCTTGAGTAGGCTTTATTTGTTGCTTTAGAGTCTTAAAATTATGTTTCTTTAAGTTAAAGTTTTAAGTTTTTTTCTTGAGTTTTAACAGTCATGTAAATTGAAATTTTTTGGTTTGCATGAAATTGCAAATTTGAGTCTAGTGTCTTTCCTTGAGTTTTTCTTTTTCGTTATTTTTTTTTATAGTTAGGTGTTGCTTTAAGTCAAATTTGTGTGTTTCCTAGTTGGATCATTTAATAATTTGAATCTAAGTAGGATTTCTTAAGTCCTTATTAGGTTGCTAGTTACATCTATTTATCTGCATGTATATTTTTCTTCCTTTGACTTGCAATCCATTTCATAGGGTGGACTGCTAATGTATTTGCAACTTCACATCTCATGCAATTTCACGTCTGACATGCTTTGACCAATTTATTTTCTTGCATTTTTCTTGTTATTGTGTTGAATGGCACTTTTATTTTTTAAAAAAATTATGATGGAATAATGTAATTTTCTTTTGCAATGCACCAATTTACTAAGCTTACATGTCTTACTCTAGGAACTTTTGAGAAGATTAGACTCCCTATATTCCACAAAAGTAACAAATTCATCACAAGGCTCCCTGTCACATTTGCCTTTAGCCAAACATGAATCTCATTCTTCTTTGAAGAGGCCAAATATGCCCAAGGGGACACCAAAAGGCTCAAAGACCAGTTGCCTGCTTAATGGAGAGAACAATTTGAAGCAGGCAATTTTGAAATGGTACAGACAAAAATATGGCTGTCTATGGTGGTTTCGTAATATCACTTTGAAGTTCAGTAATTATGAGCTGGTCATATATAATGGGAAATTTTTTATTGGCTGTCTGATCCTTTTCACATATTACATCTTTCGAAGGAAAAAAGTTTCGTTACAGAGGTAAGATTGTTTTGTTGTTCTTTCATGCATTCTATAGATGTTGATGCCAGTAATTTGAGTAGAACCTTAATTCACTATTTTGCTTTATGTTAGCGGTTGCTATTGCTCAGTCTGAGTCATACTAGTTATTTTCCCATGGAATTTGTCGTCGGAAGGATATTCTGCTTATGTTGGATTACCATGTGTTGAGTTGTTTTTATATAAATCATGTTAATATTCACCTAAGAATTGAAATATTGCTTAACTCTTTACCCTGAAAGAGTTGTTCACAGCTTACATGGTAAACTTATTTGAGCGTACTTAACTTTGTTACTCTGAGGAACACATGGTATTAAATAATATGACTCATCCCAACTTTTGCAGATCTGAATACAAAACATGCTTTAGTTATTAATATTTTATGTATCTGCATTCATCTCTTAAATATCTTCAATTAAATTCAATATTATGAGGGACAACAGATTGGAAATGTTATACGTGCCACAGCAAATTCCTGGTAATAGAGCTTTGATAGAAACCACAAGTGCCACCTTGTGCTAGAGGAATCATGGGGAACAATAATTTCTGATAAATTAGAAAATAATGAATGTCTTTTGTAGATGAAGGAAAACTCTATATTATGTTCACGATTGACTGCTTATTTGTTTTAGGATTGTTACAATACGAGCTCTGTCTGTAAAGAAGTCTTTGGTAGACTTGTGGCAACTTGCATTTTCTTACCAAGTAAATCCGCTTGCTGCTATTCAACCCTTGCCTGCTGCTAGATGACGAGGTAGGTCGGTGATGAAGCTTTAATTCTCTGCCTCGCTGCTCCGGCAAAGTAACTACTACTTCAGTTACAATCATCTTCTGCTGATACTTCTCACTTCTCACTTCAAACATGATTATTATTATTATTGGCTTTTACCTGTCATGGTCAGAATGCCTTAAAACAGTCATAAAAGGAAACAAAATAATGGATGGTGGCCATGGGGCTTATTATCTAATTTGATACTTGTGTTTGAACTTTGATGTATTGGGAAATATGAGCTTTGAGGAAAGATATTCGATAGCTCACTGATTTATTTCAAATTTTCATTGTTTGTTTTTCGTAAGTGTAAAAAAAGTGTCTAAATTAAAATTAAATAACCATTCAAGTTTTTATTATTATTATTTTTTTGGATAAGTAAGTTTTTATTATTTTATTATAATTAATTAAGCAAAATTTATTTTCATCAATTAAATTTTTATTAGATAAAAATTGATTAACAGCAAACATTTGTTTTTATTCATAAAATTCGAAATTTAATTAAATGAAAATAAATGTTTAAGAGTTTAATTTGGTATAAATGGATATTTAAAGATTAATTAAATAAAAGTAACGATTTGAGCATACAATTGCAAGAATATGGACAATTATTTAACTTTTGTTAAAAGAATTTATTTACTCGAGCCTTTATACCTTTCCGAACACTGGTGGTTACCAAGCCACTCACTCTCCCCCTATCCCTCGTAACCCCTTTCTATATTGAATAGGCAAATTCATTAACTGTCGATATGGTAAAATGGGTGGATTTGCCCTCCCCCAATACGAATCTATGTTGTGAACCACTAATACTCGTCGTGCCTTGATTATATCACAAACTATTTTTGTTATACACCACCATTTCACAGTGGGATTTTGGATAGGGGTTAGTGAGATAAGTGATAAAGGTTTGTATGTTCTTTCCATACACTTTGTTAATAATTATTTTCATACATTAGCTTTATATCTGAGCTCTATTCTTCTTGCGAGTCTAGATGGGTACAAGATAAAAGGATCAAATGTAAAAGGCGATAGTTTTAAAACGTGTTTAACTGTTAATGATTTAAGCTTTATTTCGCTTCCACCAAATATGTGTTGGGAAAAACAACACCAATGCGCAGCAACCACACACAAAATAACAAGCTCAAATCAAGAATAAGAACACACAAATATATTTGGTTCGGCCCAACTCAAAATGGCCTACTCCAAACCTAATCCACTATCAAATAAATCTTTACAATTGTGAGACTTTTAGAATGAGAAAAGTCTCCTAAAACTCCTTACTCAAAACTTAACCCAAAACCCAATTACACCCTTTAATAGCCTACTCACTTAGCTATTCTCTTGGTGTCTAACTCTCTGGGGTTACTAAACTAAAATCAAAACATCTTATTTATAAGGGTGAAACCCTTTATACTTTTACTAAACTCCCGATGTGGGATACAAGACAAACTCAAACTCACTTAACTTTCGATATGGGATTCTGAGATTCAAGGCAAATCCCAACAAATCATCCCTTGACTTGAATCTCCAAACACTTCAACAGTATCTGCAAAGCTAACACGCTTACCTTTCTTCTTTTCGTTCATCACAGGCATCTCAACAACTGAGCCTCCATCAAACATGTACAAATGATTATTGACCCTATTCCCTTGTAAAATCACACTACCATTCTTGTACACTTTCAACCAATCATTACTACCATAATATGTGTACCCCCGAGAAGCTAACTCACCCAAAGCAATCAAATTGTAGTGACAATTTGGTACATACCTTACATGACGAAGTGTCCTAATAACACCATTGTGAGATCAAGGCGAACATTCCCAATGTCTTGAATCTGCACCTTTTTTTTGTTAGCAACCACAATATCTCCATACTTTTCATTCTCATCCAATTCCACAAAGCAGCTTCTATCATTGCAAACATGAACTGTAGCAGCTGAATCTAAAACCCAACCTTTATCACTTTTCAAAGTCTGGGTCTCATCCACACAAGTTGTCAAAACAACATCATCATCATCAGACACGATAGCAGCAGTATCACTCTTTTCTTCATCTGATTTCTTCTCATCATTCGCCCTTTTGAAAGCAGCCATATCCCTTCTCAGCTTCCTGCAGCGCACTTGGATATGTCCTTTCTCATCACAATAATAACATTCTACATCACTGTAATCTCTGTCTCTTGACTTAGATCTCCATCTCGATCAATCAATCCTCTTTTGAGTCCTCCTTCGATCAAAACCCTCTACAGCTAGTGTACTCCCCCCAGGTGATGAGTTCTGAGCTCTCATAAACCTTTCATTCTCACGCAACAGGGCAGTCACATCATCTAACTTCAAAGTAGACCTGCCCACCAACACAGTCTGAACTAAAGGCCTATAAGACTTGGGCAAAGATGACAGCAAAATTAAAGCCTTCTCTTCATCTTTTAACTCATCAACAGAAATCGCTAGCAATTGAAAAACCAATCTATTAAACTCATTCAGGTGATTATAAAGACTCATACCTTTTTCCATCTTCAGAGAATACAGATCTATCTTCAAACATAATCTATTAGTCAACGACTTCAAAGCATAAATACCTTCAAGCTTATCCCATAAACTCTTCGGAGTACTCTCAGTCAACACACTGTACTTTACTTCTGGAGCTAATGCCAATCTAATAGTACTAACAGCCTTCTTCTGAATCCTATTCCAATTAGCATCAGACATTCCCTCAGGCTTACTACTCTCTAATGCCTGATCCAACCCTTGTTGTACAAACAGATCTTGAATCATACTTTACCATAACATAAAATTACTCTTTCAATCAAATAACGGAATCTCAAACTTAGGCATAGACATACCAGACATACCTTCTTCAGACATCTTCAAACACTGCTTCACGATGTCTTGAACCCACGAACCTTAAACCTCGAACCTCGCTCTGATACCACTTGTTGGGAAAAACAACACCCATGCGCAGCAACCACACACAAAATAACAAGCTCAAATCAAGAATAAGAACACACAAATATATTTGGTTCGGCCCAACTCAAAATGGCCTACTCCAAACCTAATCCACTATCAAATAAATCTTTACAATTGTGAGACTTTTAGAATGAGAAAAGTCTCCTAAAACTCCTTACTCAAAACTTAACTCAAAACCCAATTACACCCTTTAATAGCCTACTCACTTAGCTATTCTCTTGGTGTCTAACTCTCTGGGGTTACTAAACTAAAATCAAAACATCTTATTTATAAGGGTGAAACCCTTTATACTTTTACTAAACTCCCGATGTGGGATACAAGACAAACTCAAACTCACTTAACTTTCGATATGAGATTCTGAGATTCAAGGCAAATCCCAACAATATGGTATACAACAGAGATTAGATTGAATAATCTAGGATCACAATGAAACTTGGAAATATTTTGCACTAATGAAATCAAACTACTAAGCAACTTTGTTAAGGGATGAAAATATTTTCTTTGGTCACAATTTTCTACAACAAACAATGTCTAGGAAATTTTATCATAATTTGAGAATGAGAGAATAAATAGAAATCTTCTTCTTCATTCATTGATTCATCTATTAGAATAATTTCTGGCATCTTAATGTATAGAGAATTTAGTTAAAAGTTGTAATTCTTCAATTGTGTTGTTTTGTTCAATCAATTTATCTTTTCATTGAGTTCACATCTTTTGAAACTCAATAGGTGCAATTTACAATATTGTAAAAGTAAAAACACCTTATGAAGGGTTAGAACTCATTTGAAATGAAAGTAGCAGTTATAGTATTAAGTGCCAAATTTGAACTAGGAGATTCGAATGCCTTAGGGAGGGCATTCAAATCCCCTTTGTAATTTTGTTCCATAACACTTTTTCAAGTCATGGCATTTGAATGTCCAACAAAAGGAATTCAAATGCTTTAGCATAAAATCATGCAGAAGATTTTTCAAACATTATTTTTTAATTTTATTGATTAAATGCTCAATTTAAGATATAAGATTTACGTGTTTTTTTAATTAAAAATATCATTTTTACTTTGGTTCGTTGTAGGACTAAATATTTTCAGGTTTGTTAAAAAAGCCTTCATAACAGATTTGTGGTTCCCACGCATCGAAATAAAGTGGAACTACTCATTTCAATGAAAAATAGGGACAAAATTGTATTTTTACTGGAGAAATAAAATGAAGCTTAATAAAAAAAAGGCCATTAAAACTTAAATGGCTTGCTTCCTCTCTACAACCCTTTTTTTTGCTTTTTTATCAGCACTTTCTTTTTTGCTTTCTTGGTCTCGAATTTTTGTTGCTTCAAGAGTTTCTATTGGGCATTCTTCGAGAGAGGTACGATTAGGATTGAGAGAGTTTTCCTACCTGTTTTGCTCATTTTTTGGAAATTCTTACCATGTTTTACTCTCATGATTTCGAACAAAAGCCTAACCAAAAAAACAAAAAAGGCAAAAATGAGTGGTACTCCTAATTAGATGCAGAATAGGAGCAATTGGCCAGCTATTATGAGGGAAGGGAAAGATAACGCTAGAAAGAAGGATGATGAGAATGATGACAAAGTAGATGATTTTATCAAAAAGTTTAAGCACCAACTAAAGTGTCAAAGGATTGATTCCATCAATAGGTATAAATAGGTGGTGAATAAGGTATTGGAAGGTGACGTAATTTCAATTTTTTCTTAGGAAACTCTTGGTTTTTTTTTTTTTATTTCAGGGTTTAATTATTGGGTTTCAAATCAAATTGCTACAAAATTATACCACATCCTTCCTTGCCTCTTTTTAATTTTGTTTATATCCTTGCCTTTCTCTATGATCCTTTGTTTGTTAAATTTTCCTTTCCAATTTCATTTTTTTCTTTTTTCTCATTAAATTTTGAATAAATTAGTATTTTCTTTTATTAATAAAAAAACTCAACGGCTTAATTTAATTGAAATTAAATTTAACGGCATGGACAATACATGCATGGGTGTTTTAATGCTTTATATTGGAAGCTTTTCCAATCAATTTTTCATGTCTTAAATCGATTTCCTTGATTTGAAACCTTTCCAAAGCTATTATATAGCTTCTCACTCTTTGGTGTCTCATTTCATTGATTAATACATTGAATTTACATCTTTTAGAACTCAATAGGTGTTATTTGCAACCTTTTATAAGTGAAAGAACACCTTATGAAATGTTAGAACTCATTTGAAATGAAACTAGTAGTTATAGTCAAAAGCTATCAAATTTGAACTAGCACATTCGTATGCCCTTAAAAGGACATTCAAATCCCTTTTTATAATTTTGTTCCAGAATAATTTTTCAAATCATGGAATTTGAATACCCAACCAAAGACATTCGAATGCTTT